GAGGGAGAGGATGGAAAGAAGAAAGAAAGATAAAAGAAAGAAAAAGAAAGAAAGAAAGAAAGGAAGGAAGGAAGGAAGGAAGGAAGGAAGGAAGGCGCATTTTAAATTAGGGGGAAATCTGCATTGACAAAGTTTACAAAGGCAAAGCAAAATGAATAAGAGCTTGTTTCTGTAGAAGATACAAAGTATGAGTGCATTGATAAGAAAGTGTTTAACTAGCAAAAAAAATAGACAATTGGGAGGAAGAAAGAGAAGGAGGGAACAGAAGGAGACAAGGAGGGAGAGAGAGAAGGCAGAAAGAAAATATCATAAAATAATAATAAACCTTTCAAACATACTCAAATAGGAGCTGTCAAGCTGGCTTAGTGCATGAGGCTCTGGGTTTGATTCCTCAGCACCACCTAAGCAGAAAAAGCTGGAACTGGCGCTGTGGCTCAAATGGTAGAGCACTGGCTTTGAGCTGAAGAGCCCAGAGTTCAGGCCCCAAGACCAACAAAAAAATAAATAAATAAATAGTCTCAACTTGATTCACTCAAGATTTACCTGCATTAAAACAAAGGTTCCATTTATCTACCATCAAATAGGTAAATATAATATTTAATAACTGGTTATGTTAGCAAAGACATGGAGAAATAGGACTTTTAGATATGAAATATAATTTAAGCTGCTTCTGAAGAGTCTAATTTAGAAATAGGAACCAAAATAAATTTTGCATTCTCATTAAATAGCTAATTGTCCTATACATTAGCTTACATATGAGAAGTGGTACTTATGCAGTATTATAAATTAGAGTCCTTTGAAATAGTAGAAGAAAAGTCTACACTGGCTTTCAATAAGTGTGATTATGGCTTAATGATATAAGGGGATACTCTTTAACTGTCAAAATACAATTTTAAAAGACTGAGTGAGCCCTTTAAAAGCAAACACAAAAGGAATGTAGGCTACTAATGCTATTCAAACAGTTTGAGACAGCTCCCTAGATAAATAGAATTAACTTTTGCCATATTAACCTTTTGAAATTAAATTAAATATAAATTTAATCCTTCTAAAAGTTTGCAGTAACATACACATTATGTATTTGCTATTTTTTTCTGTAAAGTTACATTTGTAAAGAGTGATTTATAAATAACATACTAGTCAACCAAGGTAAAGATTCCTTTTATACCCTTTACCCTTCAATTTGCATTAATTGGGAGCAGCCATGGGAAATAGAGCCAACCTCACCTCAGGTTGATGGCCTAATAAAATGAACTGTTTCATGCCCAGAAATAAATATATTCCAAATATAAATATGATTCAGTTACAAAACAGATTCTTATGAAACCCCCAAATAACCGCACTGTTAATATATTGGAGCCCCAATTAAAAGTGTGTAAAGAACACACATTCTGAGCTAAAGTTGTCCCAGGGAGGGATTCTCATTTTTGCTTTGAATCTTGTGTAAACAAAACTGGGCAGTCTCCTTTCAGCCTTAAACAAATCCACAGCTCTCTGTTTTCTAAAGAGAAGAATGCAAAATGGGTCTGTTTAAGTTGGAAGGGTTTAAGTTGGAAGGGTTTGGGCCTTGACCTTGCTTCTTTAAATTGCTTTCATCATGGGGAAATCACTTTGAATTTGTCTGCTTGAAGGATTCTAATTTAGTTTGCTCTCAGTTGGAGACATCATGAATGAGATGCTATGTGTTTGTATTGTAGCAATATTTGGAAGCTACCCTCGGTGACAGTTTTTCAGTTTCTTCTCAGCTATTTAGAGCCCAAGGCTGTTCCCAGGTGTTCATAATAATGCCCACAACATCAGACTGCCCAAGTAAGATTCCTGGCCAATCTCTATTTGTTGTTTGCCTTTAGGTAAAATGTTAAACATTTCTCTTTTTTCCTTTTCCTCATCTGGAAAATAGGATTGTTAATACTGCCTTATATGGTCACTAGGAGGATTAAATTATGTGAAACTAGGTGAAAAATTATCACAACCATGCCTATCCAGTGTGCTTAATGAATGTTATGTATAAAAACATATATTGTTCATTATGTAAGAATTTTTAGATCATGTTCATGAGCCAACTTTATATATATATGTGTGTATATATATTCCTCAAAGTCTAAAATTTAAATTCTCAAAAATATAAATTGAAGGGTAAATATTATGTCTATACAAAAGGCACTGCTTATTTTTAGAAATGCATGTCAAAGATAATGATGTGCATTTACTCATAATTGCCATAAAGCTATGATGACGGTTACAAACAAGCTTCTTCTTCTTGGTGTGTTGATTTAATCTTTCAGAATGCTTTTAAGACACTCTGCTCTTCTAAATGTCCCAGCCTCATACTCCCAACATTCCTGGTGGTCTCATAAACAGTGAGAAGAAAGCAAACGCTTGATTCAGAAGGTTTATAGCAAGAGCAATAGACAGAGATTTTGAAGGAAATAGATAAATACAATTCCAAACTCTTTTTCTGTGTTGCTTTTAGGAGGAATTAATAATAAGCAAGTCCATTTTTCACTACTATGTGTTGCCTTTTCTACATGGAAGAACCCAAATTTGAGGAACCAAGAGTGGAGTAGAAAGACAGTTTGCACACACACACACACACACACACATACACACACACACACACACACACACACGCATATGCTTGCATGCATATGCACACCCACACATAACCAGCAATCACTTTAATGACATAACAAACGTTTTTATGGTGCCATAAATGTTGGGTGTTGGGTGAAGAGACAATGACTGAGTATTTATTCGGTGTGGCGGTTGGAAGGAAAGAGCTGCTGTGGATCCACAGGGTAGAACAGCCATGAGTGCTGCTGAGTCAAGTATAGACACACAGAGACTCCTGTCCCCCCATACTGTTGTGCTGGTTATGTGAATATGTTTGCGAATATAAATTTTTAAAATGACCAGGAGAGAGATAAACCCATTTATGTTCTGAGTTTAGGTTAAGGTTGTCAAAAGAAAGTGTACCTAGGTTGTACTCATATTTTTAAGTCCACAAAAATAACAAGTATAACAACAAACATTAACAGTTGTCAATTTAGGGTAGTGGAAAGTCAGACTTTTTATCTTTTATTAATCTCTTGTCTTCTGAGATTTCTAAGTTATGCACAGCCACAGATCATGGGAGTTGTTTGTGTTTTTTTGCTTTTTGTTTGTTTTAATTCTTTACTGTTAGGATGATGTGAAAGGGCACTGAGACCAACAATTCCTGGATGCCCAACTGAGCAATGCAGTTGAAAAGGACCTTTTCCCTTGCAGGAAGAGAAACAAAAGATGTGGGTTATTTGTCTGCCTTTCTAATCTTGTTTATATCGGTGCAGTGTTTTCGGTATGATAGCCCAGAGCAGAGTGTAGACCACTCTGTTGCATCATACCAGGCTCTATACGCTGATGCCTCTGCCCCCTGGTCACTGGTGCCATCTAGCATTGCCTCCAAATCACACACACACACACACACACACACACACACACACACACACACACAGAGTTTATCTGTTACGATTTAAACTGGGAACTATCCTCTGACAGGAAGCTGGACTCTTCAGCATGAAATTTCTCCTCACTTTGATGTTTATGCCTGTCTCTCAGCCAACTTTTGGGAATCCAAAGTTCTTAGGTTTTGATTTTGAAACTCTATAGAAAAGTAAGTGTATGGGAGCCACTGAAGTCATTCTGTTTCTGTACTGCTCTAAAGTCCCTCCCTGAAACTGTCTTCTCCTCAGAATGAGATTTTTATCTAGTCTGTATGCATCTATTCAAAATCAGAGACAGCTCAGAAACTAGACACTACTTAAACAGACAAATAAGAGCAGGTACAGATTGATCAAATGTTAAAGAACTTTTAAAAAAACATACATTTATGTTGTTTTTTTTTTCTTTTCTAGATCTGTGGATTCGTTTCCAGTTGGCTGACCTGCATGGATGCCAAGTTCTGCACATGATTTACGAATAAGAAGGTCAGATGCCAAGCTTGACTTTTTGCAAAATCATGATTTTTACTATTAACTGACACTTTTTAGCATTCTAGGAATTATCTTCCTATTATGATATTGCTGCATTTGTGATTTAACATAGTTTTGAATTGTGTAGGTATTCAAAAGAATGGTGAAAATTTATTCAGAAGCAAAGTTGGTATGCAGGAAAACTGTGTTCTACAAAGATCCAGCCATCCCATGTCATATACTTTCATTGAGCTCTAAAATCATTCTAAGAATTAGATAAGCCTTGGTTAGAACAGCCAGAAAAAAGAGATTCACTATATCTGGGTAGTAGATATCCATTAGTGATAAACTTGGATTCCCCTTTTAGCTAGAGATATGTGTTGAAAAGAATCAAGCACTCTGTTTGGAACATTGGATTATAATTTGGGGCTTGATTTATTTTCATTATTAGAACAACAGTTTCAGTTTGTCTGTGTTTAGGGTTGTGTCAGCACTTTCCTTTCTGTGTTTATTATTTTTAGCAGTTTATAAACTCACCATGAAAAAAAAATAGCCTTCTGGCACTAGAGTCGCATTCAGGCTTGGCCAGGGTCTAGTGGAGTCCATAGAAATGCTCACTGGCTGCAGGAGTTTGGGTCTTTTGAATGCTGTCTTTGTGCCTTCCCTCACCCATGGCCTCTGGCCTATTGTCTGGACACCTCAGTTGGGCTAGTGCTATCTGATTGTAACCAGTACTAATATTACAGTGCTCAGCGCCTAGGCCCTCCCTCAGGGAGGCCCAGTCTGGCTGCCTCCATCTCCCAGCCCTCCAAACCAGTGGCCCAGTCCCAGCTCTCCTGTCAGAAAATACCATTGGTCACAGATGAAATGTTCATGAAGAAGTAACTATTAAGAACCTTTGAGACCTATGGGTCTCTAACATATGTGTGTATAACATGTTACCTATATTGTACATATAATACATATCACATATGTTACATACTAAATATTGCATGTGTGTTGCATATTACATATTGTATACATTATATATCACATATATATTAAATGCTTTTCTCCTTTCCCTAATGAAATCTTACAATTTGTAAAGTACAGAAAAGGACTGCCGTTCCCTCCCTTCAAAGTCTCCTAAGCCTCTTTCTCCACTCCCAATCAAGGTGATTTCTGATAACTCCCACCCAACCTAGAAACCTAGGATACCTCACAATACCTGCAAGTGTTCTCACCGGGAACTTCCACTTCTTGTTTACAGATGACAAAACTAAGGGAAGACTTCTATACAGGCTCAAAACGTGGGGGATTAAACCCAAGAGTGCACAGTCTGTTAATCGATTTTTGTCTAGTTTTGGAAAAGGCATAACTAATCCATAGTAGTAGCAGTCAAACCCATCATTACCTCAGGGAGGAAAGATGATTGATGGGCCAAGGGCAGGAGGGAGTTTTCCAGAATGAAGAAATGTGTGGTGTATTTTTATACAACTATGGACTACATAGCATTTGTCAATACTCATCTGCGCACTTTTCAATGACATTTCCATTGGCAATAAAAATAAAGAGGGGAAATAATGCAGAAACTCAATTAGGCATATAACAAATGAGAATACTACAACTATGTATTGGAATTTGATCTGCTTTCTTCAAGTTACTCGATCTATGCATTGATTTGGGTCTGAGGTCATTATAAATAGCCTCTGAAGATCAGAGACCCTGTGTTCTTCCTGTTCACCAACCTAATATTCTATCTGAGCATTCCATGCAATGGAAGCACTAACTAATATGAGAGTCTTCTGGCGAAGGACGGCTCAGTGTGTCCCAAGGAGGCTCAGGTGTGGAGTCCTGCGTCCAATGCTTGATTCCACTGGCCAAGCATCACTGCCTTCCCCTTGTATCACAGACTGAGCTTTAAGGGCTCCAAGAAGCACCTTAAAAGTCTTTGAGGAGAGCAGTGCTGGTGGGTGAGGATGAGCCAGGTCACCCACCCAAGAAGCAGTTTGTTTTCCATCTGTTGGCTACTGGATTCTCTATCTGATTCCTCATATGTAATGTGTTCCACCAGAGGGAAAAAACACATGACAAGCACAAACAAACACACCAGCCAGATAATATAGAATGAGACCTTTTTTTAAGTACTCTCTGCTTCTGTCCCCTACACTATACGCATAGATAAGGGTCCAGGTCTGGCAGATTCAGGACTATTCTACAGGTTCCTACTGATCCAAACTCAGTGCAAAAGTTAAGGATAGTCTTGGTGTCTAGATCTTCTGAGCCTCTTTCCAGAATTTTGGACCATGCAGAATATAGTAAAGATAAAATAAAGTAATTAAAATAACAGGAAAAGCCCTAGTGCTCCTGCATATTCTGAGAAAATATATACAGTGCCATGTTGATTGTTGATGGAGAAATGATATGCCACAGTGAGATCCTGAACAGCAGGAGTCCCAGAAGAAGCTGGCTTTTCATTTGGGATTGTCTATTGTGCAGTAATGTCCATTTCTTTATTTTTCTTGTAGTCTTTTGACATGTACTATTAATAATAGAGAAAATTTCATTTCTAAAAGCTCTTACTCCTATGTATCTGAATGCTTTTTCAGTGATCTGTAAAATGTAAATGTCCCCTCACATGCCATAGCAGAATAGAACGTCTGTTGACTGAGACTTCCGTGATACTTACAAATCAGGCTGTTGGTAGATTCGATGTTTTTCTTTCAGGAGGTATCAACCACCAACAAATAAATGCTCTTGGACCTGCATTCTTGCCAAAGGCTTCCAACAAGCACCTTCCTCTTGTTTTGAAACAATCCAGAAGCCAACCTTGCCCTTTAAATTAAAGCTTATTGGGGGAAAAAATGAAATGAAAAGAGCAAGGGAAAATGTTTTTGAAAAGGAAATGATGACAGGGTTGGGAAATGGCAAGGAAGAGTCATGTGGAGCCGGCGCAGGAAGAATTTGAAGATACTCAAATGTTCCAGTCTTTGAGGCTGTATTACTTTTCTTCAGAAAGGACAAACTGTCTACTCCTTGAGTGATTTCCCAACAAAGGGCAAAAGCCATGCTCACCCCCAACACAGATCCACATTAGCACAAATTTAGTTCGCTTACAAAGGAATGGTAAAACTGAGTCATCAGTAAAACAAATTTTTTAAATAACCAGGACATTTTTTTAGCCCACACATACCATGCTTGGCCTACACGTGACACAAATTTCCTAATCAAACCAAATTTAATTTAGCAGGAGATTTTCTCCAACTAGTTTAGATTAATGTGCATGACAGCAGAAATGAAATTATATCATGTAGGAGTTTGAGAAGAATTTGCTTTTTTTGCAATTTCATTTAAACAGACTTTCTTCAAGACATCCAGAATCAACATAACCCATTGGAAAATACCAAGAGAGAAATTATATGTCTTCATCATTCCAGGGACTTTAGGCAAGTGATTGTCCTAGAGCCAAAAGTTTTGGAATTTTTTCTAATTTTTCTCACCTTTCTTCCTTCCTTCCTTCCTTCCTTCCTTCCTTCCTTCCTTCCTTCCTTCCTTCCTTCCTTCCTTCCTTCCTTCCTTCCTTCTATCCTTCCTTCCTTCCTTCCTTCCTTCTATCCTTCCTTCTTTCCTTTCTCTCCACTGATGATGCAATCACTTATAAGTGATTTCACAAATGAAAAATATCCTGGTTAGAGATGTACCTCTTTTTCCCATTTTAGAACTGTTTCTTACAGCAGTGCTATTGAGCTGACAGAAATGTAACAGTTTCTCTCTCGTGCATGTAATTTCCATTGTCTGTATCCAGACAAGGAAAGCAAAGGGAAAATGGAGCAGTGCCTGAAGACTCCATTATCGTGAAGACAGGACTAGACTTTGGCTGAGATCTGTGAGGCTGTAAGCCCCATTTCTAGGAAAAGAAGCAATAGATTGAAATTAAATCTGCATCTTATGTTGGGCAAATATATCCTGTCGAGAGAATAAATACTATTTGGAGCCTGTCACAACAGAAAACCATTCATAACAGTGGGGTAAACAAACAGAGATTTCTTTTTCTTTGCAGAGCCAGAGACACGTTTCCATGATTATCAGGCACTAAAGTTACCTTGCTTTTGTCTGCATCAACATTCCTAGTATACAACCTTATCTTCCATGTTTCCTGTCGGTTCAAGATAGCTGCTAGAAGTCTAACCTTCCTGTACAAGTTCTAGACAAGAAAGATGAGTGAGGCGGATAAAAGACATCTATGAACAGTCACAGTTTTTTTTGTATTTTTTGTTTTTCCCTATTTTAAAGGACCTTACCAGAATTCCCAGCCACCAACTACCTGCAATCTTATCCACTGACTCCTAGTTGCAAAGAAAGCTGGAAAGTGTAGCCAGGCACCCAGAATAAAGGTGAGATATGGTTATAGAGGAATATTGTGGAGATCCCTAACAGACCTGGTTCCTACAAGCTTAGAGGCTCTTCTGAAACGAAGCAAGTACAGTCAGGGAAGAGATTAGAGGAGTTGATCTGGTACCAGGACCTCTTGGATATAAAGGAAAGCAGTGAATGTGTTTAAGGACTCCAGTTTGTGGTGACAAGCTTTATATTAATAAACAGTATCAGGGGCTGGGAAGGTGGCTCAGTGGTACAGCGCTTGCCTTACATGCATGAGGCCCTGGGTTCAATACATCAGCACCACATAAGCAGAAAAAGCCAGAAGTGGCACTGTGGCTCAAGTGGGAGAGCGCTTGCCTTGAGCTGAAGAGCTGAGGGACAGTGCCCAGGCCCAGAGTTCAGGCCCCATGACCAACAAAACAATAAAATAAACAGCATCAAAGCCAGGAGATAATAAATGTATGTAACCGTATTTGTGAAGAATGCATAGGACACAGATAATGTGTTCATCCATTAGCTATTCTCAAAACAAGGTTCAAAAATATTAAAAATGGGGAAAAAACCAAAACTTTGTTTAAACACACATGTACATACATATGTACACTCATCGAGTATAAATATATCCCAGGGTCCACACAGGAGAGACATCAGCTAAG